GAGGGGGTCTTTAGTCTCCCTACAGCCCATGGTACATCCTTAATAAACACTTGCTAGCAAGATGCTATGTGGGTGGGCTTGGCCTTCCTAAATCATAAGTTCTAGATATAGAGAACTTGAGTGCTGGACATAATTACTGCTAATAATAATAATGGGATGAGGGGGGATCCCAGCCCAGAAGTAGCATCGGAGGAAGACTTGAGCTTCAGGCCCAGAGCAACATCAAGGGAGCCACGAACTTCAGAACTGGGAGCAATGTCAGAGGGTGGCCCCAGCCGCAGCCCCAGGAGCGAAGAGTGATCACCAGGTGAAGCAACAGCAACGCTTTCCAGCAGTAGCTTCCAGAAACCATTGCTCTTCCTGGGAAAGAGCACCTGTGTCCCAGCCAGCATCCCCTGCCATTTCTTGGTGGAAGACACCCTGCTACTACCTCAATTCAGCCCCGTCTACATCTCCAATTCGAGGAGCATCCACCAGAGCTGTAGCCCCACCTGTACCTCAAGGAGTGATCATCTGAGCATTGAGCCCACTTCCACCAGGAGCATTCACCAGAAGCTCTGCTTTACTTGTGCCTGAAGGAGCAGTCAGTGGAGCCACAGCCCCCAACTATACCAATTGGAGAAAGAGAGAACCCCTAAAGCACAAGCTCCACCTATACCGATTAGAGGAAGAGATTCGTAGACAACAACGTAAGAACTCACTCAACAATATAAAGAGCAACACGGCACCACTAGAAACTAGTGGTGCTACAACAGCAAGACCTGAACATCCCAACACAGATGAAGTAGAAGAAAATGACCTAAAAATAACTTTATGAGGATGATTGAGACCCTTAAAGAGGAAATGAAAAATTCTCTTAAAGAAATGGAGGAAAAGACAAACAAAAAATTGAAAAATACCAACAAATCCCTTAAAGAAAACAAGAAAAAGCAATCAAACAAGTGAAGGAAATTATTCAAGACATGAAATCTGAAATAGAGGCAATGAAGAAAACACAAACTGAGGGAATTCTGGAAATGGAAAATCTGGGTAAACGATCAGGAACTACAAAAAAAAAAAAAAAAGAATACAAGAGATGGAAGAGATAATTTCAGGCATTGAAGATAACTTGGAGGAGATAGATTCATCGGTCAAAGAAAATTTTAAATCCAACAAAATATGCAAGAAATTTGGGACACCATGAAAAGACCTAACCTAAGAATAATAGGGATAAAAGAAGAAGTCCAACTCAAAGGCACAGAAAATATATTCAACAAAATCATAGAAGAAAACTCCCCCAACCTAAAGAAAGACATGCCTATGAAAATACAAGAGGCTTACAGAACACCAAAAAGACTGGGCCAAAAAAAAAAAAAAAAAAAAAGACCCCTTGTCAAATGATCAATACAGTAAACATACAGAATAAAGAAAGAATATTAAGAGCAGCAAAAGAGAAAGGCCAGGTAACATATAAAGGCAGACCTATCAGAATTACACCTGACTTCTCAATGGAAACAATTAAAGCCAGAAGGTCCTGGCCAGAGGTTTGCAGACACTAAGGGACCATGAATGCCAGCCCAGATTATTTTACTCATCAAAGCTTTCAACTACCATAGATGGAGAAAACAAGGTATTGCATGATAAAACCACATTTAAATAAGACCTACCCACAAACCCAGCCTTACAGAAAGTACTAGAAGGAAAATACCAACCCAAGGAAATCACCTATGTATATCCACAAGAACACAGGAAATAGATGAGCTTACAGCAGCAAACCCCAAAGAAGGGAGTTGAACATATAATGCCATCATCACCACCAAAAACAAAAATAACAGGAACTAGCAATCACTGGTCATTAATATCCATTAATATAAATGGTCTCAATTCTCCTATAAAAAGACACAGGCTAACCGATTGGATACGAAAACAGAATCTATCCTGCTGCTGCATACAAGAAACACCCCAAACTCACAGACAGACATTACCTCAGAGTAAAGGGTTGGGAAAAAATTTCCCAATCAAATGGACCTAACAAACAAGCTGGTGTAACTATCCTAATATCTAACAAAAAAGAGTTCAAACTAAAATCAATCAAAGATAAAGAAGGGCATTTCATATTTATCATAGGAAAAGTCCATCAAGAGGAAATCTCAATTCTGAGCATCTATGCCCCAAACACAAGGGCCCCTGCATTTGTAAAACAAACATTACTAAAGCTTAAATCACAAATCAAGCCCCAAACACTAATAGTGGGAGACTTCAACACCCCACTCTCACCACTGGACTGATCTGCCAGACAGAAGCTTAACAGAGAAAAAATAAGGGAACTAACAGATGTTAGGACTCAAATGGACTTAACAGACATCTACAGAACATTCCACCCAAACACAAAAGAATATACTTTCTTTTCAGCACCTCATGGAACATTCTCAAAAATTGACCACATACTCAGTAACAAAGCAAGACTCAAAAGATACAAAAAAGTTGGAATAAACCCCTGTACCCTGTCAGATCACCACAGCTTAAAGTTAGAATTCAACAGCAACATTAATTTCAGAAAGCCCACAAATACATGGAAACATGGAACAATGGTCAACTGAACCACCACTGGGTCAAGGAAGAAATAAAGAAACAAAAGACTTGCTAAAATTTAATGAAAATGACCTCACAACACACCTAAACTTATGGGACATAATGAGAGCAGTGCTGAGAGGAAAGTTCATAGCTCTAAATGCCTACATAAAGAAGCTGGAAAAATCCCACACTAGTGAATTAACAGAACAAATGAAAGTGCTAGAACAAAAAGAAGCAAACTCACCCAGAAGGAGTAGATGGCAAGAAATAGTCAAATTGAGAGCTGAAATAAATTAAATAGAAACAAAGAAAACAATGCAAAGAATCAATGAGACAAAGAGTTGGTTCTTCAAGAAATTCAACAAAATAGACAAACCTTTATCCAAACTAATTAAAAAACAGAGAAAGGATATCCAAATTAACAAAATCAGAAATGTAAAGGGGGACATAACAATAGACACTGAAGAAATCCAGAAAATCATCAGGTCATATTTCAAAAACCTGTCCTCTAAAAAATTGGAAAACTTTAAGGAGATGGACAATTTTCTAGATAAGTACCACATACTAAAATTAAATCAAGAACAGATAAACAACTTAAATACACCCATAACCCCTAAGGAAATAGAGACAGTTATCAATAGTCTCCCAACTCCCCCCCTCCAAAAAAAAGGCCCTGATGGATTCAGTGTAGAATTCTACCAGATGTTCAAAGAATATCTAATGCTAATACTCCTAAAATTATTCCACACAATAGAAACAGAAGGAACATTGTCAAACTATTTTTATGAGGCTACAGTAACCCTGATACCCAAAGACACAAAGACACAACTAAAAAAAGAATGATTCCTTGTCATGAACATAGGCACAAAAATACTCAATAAAATACTGGCAAACTGAATTCAAGAACACATTAGAAAAATCATCCACCATGACCAAGTAGGATTCATCCCAGAGATGCAGAGATGGTTCAACATACGAAATCTGTCAGTGTAATCCACCATATAAACAAACTGAAAGAAAAAAACCACATGATCATCTCACTAGATGCTGAAAAAGCCTTTGACAAAATTCAACAGCCCTTTGGGATAAAGGTCTTGGAGAGAATAGGGATACAAGGAACATACCTAAACAAAATAAAGGCAGTATACAGTAACCCAACAGCCAACATCAAACAAAATGGAGAGAAACTCAAAGCAATCACACTGAAATCAGGAACAAGACAAGGCTGTCCACTCTCTCCATATCTATTCTACATAGTACTTAAAGTTCTAGCTAGAGCAATAAGACAACAAAAGGAGACCAAAGGGATACAAATCAGAAAGGAAGAGGTCAAACTGTCATTATTTGCTGATGATATGATAATTTACGTAAGTGACCCCAAAAATTCTACCAGAGAACTCCTGAAACTGATAAACACCTTCAGTAATATAGCAGGATACAAAATTAACTAAAAAAAAAAAATCAGTAGCCCTCCTATATACAGATGACAAATGGACTAAGAAGGAAATCAGAGAAACATCACCCTTCACAATAGCCACAAATAACATAAAATATCTTGGGGTAACACTAACCAAACAGATGAAACACTTGTATGACAAGAACTTTAAAAAAGGAAATTAAAGAAGATATCAGAAAATGGAAAGATCTCCCATGCTCTTGGATTGGTAGGATCAGCATAGTAAAAATGGCAATCCTACAAAAAGTAATCTACAGATTCAATGCAATCCCCATCAAAATCCCAGAACAATTCTTCACAGACCTTTAAAGAGCAATACTCAACTTCATATGGAAAAATAATGAACCCATGATAGCCAAAACTATCCTGTACAATAAGGATTATCTGGGGGGCATCACCATCCCTGACTTCAAGCTATAGACCTATAGTAATGAAAACAGCTTGGTATAGGCATAAAAACAGTCAAGTGGACCAATGGAATAGAATCGAAGATCCCAATATAAACACACACACACCTATGAACACTTAATTTTTGACAAAGAAGCTAAAAATATAAATGGAAAAACAAAAATATACTCAACAAATGGTGCTGGTATAACTGGCTTCAACATGTAGAAGAATGCAAATAGGTCCATATCTATCACCATGCACAAAACTCAAGTCCAAATGGATCAAAGACCTCAATATAAATCCATCCACACTGAACCTCATAGAAGAGAAAGTGGGAAATACATTTGAACACATCAGAACAGGAGACCACTTCCTAAATAGAACATCAGTAGCACAGACTCTGAGAGCAACAATTAATAAATGGGACCTCCTGAAACTGAGAAGCTTCTGTAAAGCAAAAACATGGTCAACAAGACAAAACGGCTCCCTATAAAATGGGAAAAGATCTTCACCAACTCCATATCTGACAGAGGGCTGTTTTCCAAGATATACAAAGAACTCAAACTAGAAATAAAACAACCAAATAATCCAATTAAAAAATGGGATACAGATCTGACTAGAGAATTCTCAACAGAACAATCTCAAATGGCAGAAAGACACTTAAGGAAATGCTCAACATCCTTAGTCACCAGGGAAAAGTGAGAGTTCCCACTCTTCCTCCTCCCCCTAATGGAACATGCTGATCAGGGGCTGAGATTAGAATCTTACTTTGTTTGGATTGTTGCATCTGAAATCTTCAAATGTCCTATTTACTGGCATCAAGAAGCACAAGTGTAATGAAATTAAAGTGTGGGGCTGGAGAGATGGTTCTGTTGTTAAGAGTATGTCCTCTCCTGCAGAGGACCACGTTCGGTTCCCAGGATCCACATTCTGTTTGCTCTGTTCTGTGCCTGAGTTAAACCCTTTGCCATCACTTCCCAGTTTGTGTCTTACTCCCCTTGTTGAATTTGAACCCAAAATAGGTTATGAGGGTTAGATGAGGTGTGTTTTTTTTTTTTTCCCCCATGTGAAAAGTACTCGAAACCACACCCAGAGACAGCGCCTAGAGAGTGTCACCTCCGTATTAGCTGTTTGTGTCTCCCTCTGGCGTTTAGTGACTAGCCACTGCACAGCCCTGCACAGGATAGAAAGAGTGAAGAAAAACTGAAGGCGTGGAGTAATCATTGCTTCAGACACTGGCAGTTCCAGTTTCAAGTGGTTAGAGGCTGAGCCTTCAGGGTGGGGACTGCCTGAAAGTGCTGCTCAAACGTTATTGCCCCAGGCCACGGGGCAATAAGCTCTAAGAACAATTACTTGTCAAGGCTGGTACTTGACTTTGTGAGGCTAGAAGAGAATTCCTGAGACTGGGTAAATTATAAAGAATGCAGATTTTATTTCTTACAGTGCTGGAGTCTGAGAAGTCCCTGGTCAAGTTCTGTTAGACAACCCTCTTACCTGGATAAGACAGGGGGCAGAAGGCAAGAAAAGAGAGGGGCAGGTGGGGTGGGGGAGGGTGCAGGCTCCTTTGACCAGAACTAGTTTTCATGGTAACCAACCCACTCTCTTGTCAACAATCTCTGAGGGCAGAGCCTTCACGTCTTAGCCACCTCTTATCAGCCACCCCCCCACAACAATATGCACAGACTTAGACTCCGGGGAACACATTCAAGCCATAGCATCACTGTATGATTTTATGAAGCCAAAAGACCAATAACATAGATTTTAAAACTCTCCTAACCAGACTAGAATAGTGATTTCTCTTTCCTTTCAGTACCTAGTCACGCTGGCAAAGCACAGGACCAGAGGGACAACTCTGGCAATTTCTTACTTACTCATCCAGTACCCATTGTCTATACCCTCCTCATGCATATCAACTACAAGTGGGGAGCTGGCTGAACAGAACCGGGCCCTTCAGCATGGGCACTGAATGGTTGTGAGGATGCTCTTAAGCCTAACTGCTCAGCTCAGGAGACAACGGACACTGATAGCAGCCTTCATCCTCTTACATGGCTTAAGCTGCTAAAAAGAAAATCTTGAAACTGGGTAACTTATGAAGACAACCCCATAACACCCTTATGCCTTGTTTGAAGAACAAAAAGATGGTCCCCCCCCTCTGTGTGTATATCTGTTTCTCTCTTTCTCTACACACACACACACACACACACACACACACACACACACACACGCACACACGCACACACGCGCGCACACACGTGAGCACATGTGCAGGTCAGACAATAACTTGTAGGAGTCAGTTCTTCAACTGTGTGGGTTCTGGGGACTGAACCCAGGCAGTCAGACTTGGAGGCGGTCACCTTTATGAACTGGCTGTCTCGAAGATCATTTTCTAATGCAAGCATAATTGACTGACTATCTACTCTGCAATAAGTTTCAAGTTCGGAGCTGGGCACAGTGAAAAAAGCAGAACATCTCACTGTCCTCGGTGAGACGAAAATTTAGGGAAGAAGAATGTGTTCTACAAGTACAGTGTAGTGACGGTGGTTGGGGCGAAGGAGAATCATGAAGTACGTAAGGAGCAGAGGGTCCCCGTGGTCTCTAGTAGTGTGAATAGTTAGGGCAGGCTTTGAGGTGAGGTGACCAGAGAGCCCACCTCTGTAGCCGCCTGCTGGCCTCTCCCCACTGGGGCAGTCACAAAATGCTCTACTCTTTGAGTGTAAATCCAGGGATTGGGGGTCAGGGGAGGATTTTCTTTTCTGCTGTTTGTCGCACAGGAAAGAACATCTTATAAAGATTGACTCAGGGTACAACGCTCTGCCCCAGTTCCCTCTCTTCATTTACCAAGCACCTGCGGGTGACAGAGGCGTGGTTCTCCAGGGAGCTTATCCTAGCTAGGATGTAGGTACTCATAACATCCAGCCCCAAGCTTCAAGCAAGTGCGAGGGGTCCCAAGGCCAAAGAGGGAGTTCCCTGGACGAACTGTAAAGCCACTGTGCCAGCTCACACCCTACTAGTGGCATGACAGGCTCCAGGAGGAACCAGAAGTAGTCTCTAGCCGGGAGGGGGGGTGCCGGGGGGGGGGATCTGTGGTCAGTAGGCCACACGCTCATCCCCAACTCCCTCCTCTGGAGCAGATGCTTCAGCCCAAGCCTGACCTGGGCAGTTGGCAACCTCCCCGGTGTCCCCGGAAGGAAAAGAGGCAGTGTCCTGTCAGCAGCAGCCTCCCGTGCTGCCTGGAAGCTCCTTTGCCCCTGCAGCCAGGGTCCCTGAGTCCCGGGTCCAGCTCCGCCTCCAGCGCCGTCTCTCGGCTTGTGGCCCAGCTGAGGCTCCCTGGGTCAGGACTGAACAAAGGTCCAGACCCGCCCAACTCCTCTCGCTGTGCGTCCCAGAGCGCACGCGCCTGCAGGAACCGAGCACGTGCAGGACCGAGCTGCAGAGCGCCGGTAAGTGGCGGCGGGCGCGAGCTAGCTGTGGGCTCGGCTCGTGCTCCTCTCCCCTCCGCCCTCGGTGCTATCAGGCCTGGGGCAAACTGTCAGTGCCCCTTCTCCCCGGTAACCCCTTGTTCCCTCCGGAGGCCAGCGATTGGGGGATAGCCGCCTCCCTTTTCTCTCCCACCCTCCAGCAGGGACAGCTGCTCTGTTCTGCCCATAGTCCGATTCCGCGCTGGTCTCCATCTCATCCTTACCTCCCAGCATGCTCGCCGCCACTCCGGTAGTCCCGGAATACGGCAAGTGCAGCGGGTGCTCTCTGGCACCCCCACCTCATCCTGTCCCCACCACATCCCACTATCCTTCCTTTGTCTTCTGGGTCTCTCCGGTATCTGTAAGGATCCAGGGTGCGCATGGACCAGAGGAAAGGCCAGAAGCAGGCAGAGGCCAGAGGCAGGCTTGGGTCTGTCCTGTCCTGGGGTATCTGAATCTAACCTTGGCACCGAGACCCTTCTACCTCAACCTGGAACAGGGTTTGGGGGAAGGGGGGTTCTTCCCCTCTGCACCGCTCAGGGAGAGATCTGCTCCTGGGTTTTGCTGGAACCTGAACAAAAAGCAGTCAGCCAGCTAGGGAGTATGAATGGGACCAGGAAAGGAGTGGGGAAGGGTGTGTTGGGACAGCTGGGCCAGGGCTGTCACGATCCAGGCAGAGCTGGGAGTTGAACGGGGCTGAGAGGTTAGAGGAACAGCATCTGGATATACAATAAAAGGAATCGTCTTCTGCATCCATCAGCCATAAGCGCTCCTTACAAAGCAAAGCTTCAGGAAGAAGCTGGGCCGGGACTCCTGATTAGATCTGAGAGAGAAAATGACCCAGACAGCCTGCCCAGGTCCCTGGACTCCAGGCTGGCCTGCTCAGAGAGGAGGCTCTACATCGACCACAGGACATTCTTGTTCTTTTTGAACTCTGTGGACGCTTGCTCTAGAGGTCCTCTCTTGTGTATGTGAATCTTCTTGTTTATTTTTGTGGTAGAGTCCTGGCAGCCTGGTGCCCTTCAACGTTCTGATCCTGCTGCCTCTCCCTCAGCTGAGTGGTGGGAATACAGGTGTTCGGCCAGCTCCACATCTGCTTTTACCTTTGAAGATAAATTAAAACATTTTTTTAAAGCTATCATCTGCCCAGGAAGGCCAAGCTGGACTTGGATGTGTAACTCTCCTGTCTCAGCCTTTCTAGTTCCAAGTCCCCAGATTCCAGGCTGCGCACCACACCCGGCTCCCCGTCCCTAACAGTCTTTCATTCTCCTCCGCTCCATCCCGCAGCCTTTGCCGCCTGCTCCAGGCTGCCTCTTCAGGCTGGTGCTTATCCTCCCACCATGGTTTGTTTCTTTATTTCACACATTCTTGGTGAAAAGATACAAGGCAATGGCTTTGTCTCCACTGTAACTGAGTTGCCCTTTCCACACACTGTCTTTACCAAATGAGTCAGATGCAGCTAAATGGAAGAAGAAGTTGACCCCCAGTCAGCACAGAGAAATGGGCAGAAGCTCCTGCTCTGGACTCAAGGGGATCTTCTTGGCTCAATACTAATTCTCTTGGTAGACATTCAAGGTCCCCTAGTCAAAGCCACTGGGATTTGAACCTGCTGCGTTTTATTGTTCCTTGCAGCAAGGGGGAATGTGGCTTGCCAGTGATTTCAGAGGGAAGTCTTCACTTAGTATTAGAGGTTGACTGTAAGTGGGGAAAATGTTCTCACTGCGTCTCTTCACAAACCTTTGCCAAGTGGAAAGCCTGTCAGAGGTAGGCGGCTGCTGGGGTTGGTCAAGCAGCAGCATCGGTCACAGGTGGGGCCGGGAGGAAGGTGGTATTGGCCTTTTTATGGTTTGGAGAACATTTGTGCTTGGTCTGTAGTTGGACATGGTGCCAGAGTGGTCATGTTTTTTGCCATGATTTGTGATCACAGTGGCCTCAGCTCATGTGGATGCCCGGTGACCCTAGTCACATTCAGCAGGGGGATACAAGTCCAGCTCTCAGCAGCACCAGGATATAGTACTGAGCTGGTTTCACATGCATCTGTTTGTCAAGATCTTGGGGAAATGACTTAACATTCAGTTTCCACGTGTGCAAGCTGTGTAAAATGTTAGCTTCAGGGAGTTGTTATGGAGAGTAAACGAGGAAACACATGATAGCATCCTGCTCTGCACCTGACAGGGAGCAGGGCCCCAACACCTGTTGACCTTGCTCTTTATTTGGTGTATTTGATGTCGTGGCCTCTTCCCAAGAATCCCAGGCCTGTTGTAGCAAGGCCAGAAGAAGAAACCTATTCCCACCTTTGGGAAAACAGAGACAGGAGTCTATGGAGTTCAAGGCCAGCCTCAAACTCTGTCTCTCTCCAAACAAAACAACAATAGCAAACAACAACAACAAACAAACAAACAAACAAAAAACCAGAAGGGAGAAGTGGGAAGTGAGGAAGAACAGGGTCCCTCAAGATGCAAGGTCAGGTGTGCCCGAGGTCAATCAGAGCCACCAGAGTGCTAGTGATGGTGGTCCCTCATGCAACTGTCACTTTAGCTGTTCCTTTCAAGATTCCTTGTTCCCAGGAGCCAATGGCCCCAGGTAGCCATATTCTTTGCTAACTCTGAGTGTTGTCTTGCTTTCTTCTTTTCTGAGGAGTCCTCCTCTGTCATTACCCATATCCACAGCTGCCTATGCTCTAATCTGCTTTGACTAGGGACTCAGCCAGCCAGGCAGGTGAATAAAAGCTTGACATTATAGCTCTTAAGCTTTAGGTGAGTGTGCAGGAGCTGTCACAGCCATGAAGCTCAGTGGCTTTTTACGTGCACAGTCCTGAGTCTATGGTCATGACTTCCAAACTGGAGCATTGTGGAAAATTGAATTTAAAGTCTGATTTTTGGTTAGTTGAGACTTAACTGTGTTTCTGTGTATTGGGCAATACACAGAACTGTGTGGGGGTCCTGGTATCAGGTTTTAGATCAGTGGTTCTCAACCTCCAGTCAGACCCAAAATTAACCTGTAAGCCCCACCTTCCCAAAGACCAGGTAACTTCCTGGGATTCTGGGAGTTGTAGTTCTTGAAAAATAACAACAAAACCTCATGGGAAAGTACAGTGGCCTTTGGGTTTTGACCATGTAAACTCTGTCAACATGTGTCTTGGGACTACTTACCTGGAAAGTCTCAGGAGATTGTCCTAACCAAGTTCCATCTTGGTCGGTATTTAAAATTTTAATAAAGGCATGCTTAAATTTGGCCAAAATAGTAGAACTTTTTTTTTTGCAAACTTCAGGATAAACTCTTCCTAATGCTGGGGCCCTTTTTACAGTCCCTCATGTTGTGGTGACCCCCAACTGTAGGATTATTTTGTCACTGCTTCATCGCTCTAATTTTGCTACTGTTATGAATTGTAATCTAACTATCTGGTATACAGCCCACAATGGGGCTGAGACCACACGTTGAGAACCACTGTTCTAGCTTTTTGCCTCTGAACACCTGGGCAAGTTAGATCGTTGCTGACTAGTCAGTTACCTCAAGTGATTGAGATGATGGTGGCAATGTGGTACCTCCTCATGGCACAACATAAACTTGATTGTGTTAAATTTCTAGCCGGTATTTTGGCTGATCCCTCTGTTTATGGCAAAAGTTTTCAGGCTAGGCATGATGTCATACCTGCAATCTCATTACTTGGGAGGCTGAGACATAAGGTGGTGAATTTGGGACCAGTCGGAACATATTGAGACCCTGTCTCAAAACAATTAAGAACAAAAGCAAACTTTTTATAACTGGCTGTAGTAGCTCCTGCCTCTGATGTCAGCACTGGAGGGGTGGAGGCAAGAGGATTGCTGTGAGTTTGAGGCATGTTCCAAGCTAACTTGGGCTTCAATGTGAGATCCTGTTTCACAAACAAGCAGGCTAGAGCGATGGCTCAGTGGTTAAGAGTGCCTAGTGCTCTCCAGTAAGACCTGGGTTTGGTTCTGAGGCCCACATCAGCCGACTCACAGCTGCCCGAGGCTCCAGCTCCATGGGAGCCGAAGGCCTATCATGGCCTCCAAGGACTTCTGTACGCACATGGCATACAAACAAGCATATACAAAACACATCATTTAAAAATCAAATAATATTTAAAAACAACAAAAGTAAACAAATAATCCTAGACATAAAGAGAGCAACAACAGCTAGAGAGATGGCTCAGCAGATAAGAGCACTGGCTGCGTTTCCAAAGGACTTGGGTTCAATTCCCAGTACCCACATAGCTGCTCAAAACCTCCTGTAACTACAGTTCTAGGTGGCCCATTGCCCTCTCCTAGCCTTCCTGGGTACAAACATGGTGCACACTCATGCAGGAAAAACACTCACATACATAAACTAACAAATAAAACAATAGAAAAGCCAACAGCTTTTTATAAAAGAGTTTTTTTTTAAAGGCTTGTAACAAATAACAGATGTTTGCTTTTATTTGTATTGAGAAAATGCAGCCTATATCTACACTGAGATTCAATTTCTCACATGCAACACTGGCAAAGATTCAAAAGTTTGAGGCCCATCATTGCTAATACAGATACTGTAACATTTTAACAGATACCTGTAATATCAGATACATTGTTACTTGGACTGCACAAGGAAAGAAGCTCCCAAGTCACACATGTATCCACCTGTTGACCAGCAATCTCTTTTCTAGGGCTGTATCCTCTTTTCCTGATGCAGTCATCTATCTATGAAGGAATATTTATGCTATTTGGTTTGTTTGTTTGCTTTTGATATGGTTTCTCTATAGTCTTGGCTGGCCTGGAGCTCACTATTAGTCCAGGCTAACCTCACACTCATGACATTTTAAATAGCCTCCTCCCATTTTAGCCTTCATAGTACAGGACTAAGCCACCACATCTGGATGGCAGTATTTTTAAAATAGCAGAAATTGGGAAAAAGACAACTGATGAATTATATCTGACAGGGCCACTAAGCAGTAATACATCCAAGGAAAGAGTAAGTAGTATGCAACC